TGGATTCAGATATGACGGCTGATAGAGATGTATGGAAGAGCAGCACATACTGTGCCGACCCTCCGTAAGGAATAAGGGCAAGTTGATGATGATGAAACAGAATTTACAAATAGTTATAATAATAATAACCGACTTTTGTATTAACATATCTATTTATCGGAATTTTATAAAATCACTTACGCATTTGATATTTCTAGAAGTTTCGACGCTAAGGTTGGAGTTATCGTGATGTTCGGCGAGTTGAGACAGTGTGGTCCCAGTTCTTTATCCTGGAAAGTGAGTTATTTACAAATAAATTAAACAAATACAATTAATCTATACACCAGGTTCTAGATCAATCGAATGTTATCATTCACCGAGCTAGTGCATGCATTTTTTTACATTACGAGGTGCCAAACGAGCAAGCGGCCATCTGAAACCGCCACAATGGCAAAGCGAGCCTGAGGACATCTGGAATTGCAGATGCGTTGCCTATACTTAATCGACGGAGGAGACGCACATAGAGAGGATACTTTCTATGCGTCTCCTCCTCCGTCAAATCCACTTTTCTTTCCCATCCTCTTCTATTTAGAAAAAGGTGGAAAGGGTAAGGGACCAAATGAATCAGACGAAACGCGAAATTGGTCCCACTTCACGTCTGTCTTGTGTGTCGTCGTGGTATTGCACCGGGCGAGCCGACCCATTCGTGGGAAGATGGTAAAGCGGGCTCTACCATCGTTGGACCGACGCCCAGGGCGCTTGTTTAAAAGGGGGCATCAAAGTTAGCGATATAGGGGAAAAGGGGGCGTCGTATGTTGCCCAGAGTACGAATAGTTAATACCGATATACATATATTAACTAGCTATTTCCACTTTCCATTCTCAATTGCAATTGTTAAAATTACCGTTACCATAATTACCTTCCTTTCTTACCTTTTGCTAATAGTTTATGGTACTTTTCCCACATGAAGGTTTTTTCCAATTTATTTACCTCTAAGTTTAATAGTCTAAGTTTAATAAAAAAATATAGCCTAAAACGTGTCGCAAGTGTAGGGCTTTTTATTAAAGAAATAATTATTAAAAAATATGCTGTAATTGCTGACATTTTAGGCAACAAAGAAGTGTGTTACGCTTTATTATCATATCATACTTTATACTAATATTATAAATGCGAAAGTTTAGATGAATGGATGTTTGTTAGAGTTTGCAGCCTAAACGGCAGAACGCATTTCAATGAAATTTGGTATAGATGTAGAGGATAGCGTGGAAGAACACATAGGCTATTCACTTTTGTTTTTTTTTTATACAATACGGGCGGAGTCGCGAGAAATAGCTTTATATAAGTATATAAGTGTAGATTTTCAGCTAAATATTACCTTATCATAGAACATACACATTACATGTGTCCCTTCCTTGCAGTACTGCATCTTTGGACAGTAATCAGAGACGTAGATGCTCTTTTGACTGACTGCATCTAGTACTCGAGAGCATTCAAACTCATCCAATATCAATAAATATATCAGAAGAACTGAGCATGTCTGAAAAGAAAGATAACACTTAAAAATATCAGTGCTCTGTGTAATCTATACGTTTCTGTGTAAGGTTTTTATTAGCGTACTTTTGTACGTATTGAAATAACTTAAAAATTATTGGGCCGATTTTAAAAATTCTTACACCATTAAAATGCTACGTTATCAGTAATATAGGCTATGTTTTTATGTGCTTTAAGAAAAAAGAACGACCATCTTATTAATGTCATAAATATAATAGTTTGGATTGATGGATATTTCTTAAAGTTTGTAGCATAAACTACTGAATAATCTCAAAGTTTGTAATATACTCGTATGTAGAGGATAGTCTGGAAGAACAAAGGTAAGGTGGAGTTGTGGACGGCAGCTTGTATGACAAGTGTAGTGTAGTTCTGGGTTAAGTATTACTGCAGTAGAAGTCGTTAATTATCTGATCTTACTAATATTATAAATGTGAAAGTTTGTAGTCTAGAAAGCAGAACGGGTCTGGATGAAATTTGGCATAGATATAGAGGATAGTCTGGAAGAACACATAGGCAACTTTCTCTTGTTTTCATTAATTCATCGCGGACGGAGTCGCGGTTGAAATCTAGTTGTATATTAAAGATACTTACCCAGGAAAACATTATAACATATCTATATATTTCATTATAATCTCTGATAAATGATCGCCTTCGTAGAATTCATAATCCACAACATCGTTTCATTGTTTTTATAATTTCCACGTCGTAAAACTCTCAAATATCTAAAATATGTCAAATAACATTGTTTTTACTTATGCTTTATGCATGTGTTTTTGAAAAGTGGGTAGAAACGGAAAAAAATACGTCTTTTGATAGCGATACGTCATCGATTTGTTTATGAATATTTTTATTTCTACCCACTTTTTAAAAACACATGCATAAAGCATAGAATAATTTAGTACACAATGGTAATAGCGAGAGCAATTTTTAATTTATATTTGTTTATTTTCAAGCGACTTTATAACGGAATAGGATCTCAATTTTTTAGTACATTTTTTGTAACTAAATATACTCCAACTTTGTACTATTGAATGCATATACTTAAGTATATTATTAACTAACAATTTAATTTTAATTACTCTATTGCAATTACCATAGATACGAAAATTGTCTATACAAATTCAAATAAAATAACTCAAATAATTTCTTTACAATTTGGTATTATAAGAAGCTTTAATCAGAAACCTTGTTAGGTGAAGCGAATCTAAATAAAGGCAACTTTCTGACCAAAACAATTGCAGGTGTTGCTGCGATACGGATTGTTTAAAAATGCCTTCCAGATGTAGGGCATTAGAATACAATTGAAGTTAGAAAATTTTAAATTTACCTAAATTAATACAACTAAAGAAAGTAACAATAACAATCACGCAAATGTTAAAATGTTTGTAACCTAAACTGCTGAACGGATCTTGATGAAATTTTGCATAGTTAAGGATATTCTGGAACACATTGGCTACTTACATTTGTTTTTTATAAGTTGGAATCGCTGGCGATAACTTGTATAGAATGTAATAATATACTTACTTGTTATATTTTACTTTGGAATAAAATATATTGAACGTAAGCACGATCACTTTTGCATTTGTTTACAATGTACAATCACCGTCCAATGTAAAATATGAACTGCACAATTGATAACTACAAACGTACTGCACTAGTATCAAGAATACCGTATTGTTTATCTTCCGTATTGTAAAAAGGAATAACTTTCCCACATTAGAATAAAAAAGTAGTGCTAGACCGTCGCCCTTTAGCTACTTTTTTCAAACAGCCAGCATTGAGTGTTCGAGAACAATAGTGTTTTGTGTTTCTATTTCGATAAACTTTGCCGATAGTTTATAAAAGTAGTTCTTCTCGATTTTAACTTGTATGTGCCAACGACTTGACTGATGACAATCTGTACCAATGATGATCTTAATCATATTCATTATAAATGTTGTTTTAAAATCATCGTTAGCAACTGACGCGCACGTAAGTTATCAATCGTTAATTTTATTTACATCTAAATTATTTTAATGGTAATGTTTTAGTTCTTTAATATCTTATTTTTTTATTTAATATAAGGTGGCAAACGAGCAAGCGGCCACCTGAATCCACCGAAATGGAAAGCGACCGCTGCCCATAAACATCAATTGCAGATGCGTTGCCTACCCTTAATTGACGAAGGAGGAGACGTACATAAAGAGGACATTTCCCCTTCCTATGCGTTTCCTCCACCGTCAAGTACACTTTTCTTTCCCATACTTTTCTCTTAAGAAAACGGTGGAAAAGGGAAGTGACTAAAATTAGGCCTCCGGCACCACACTCATCAGACGAAACGCGGAATTGCGTCCACTTCACGCCTGTTTTCTGTGAGGTCATGGTATTTCACCGGGTGAGGCGGCCCATTCGTGCAAAGATGCTAAAGCTCTACCACTGTTTAAATGTGTAAAAACTGTTAATTATTTCATTAATTACGGTTCAAGAACATTCTGGTTAGATAGGCAATTGTTTTGGAATAAAGCGAAGCGTATCTTTAAATTAAATCCCTCTAAGAATCTTCTAATCTTCACTTGTTTTTGCAAATATTCTTAGCCTTAGGGTGAGTTGTACCATATCGCCGGTTACCGTTAAAGTTAAAATTATCTGTAACGGTAATATTTGGAATAACCTTAAAATTTACTAAGGATGAGTTACATTAACTAACTATAAACCTTAACCAGCACATTCCCGATGGTTACGTCTGCGGATGTTCATGATATTCGCTACACCAGTTTTGCGCTGGTCAAAATGACGTCATATTTGACACTAATCATAACCGCCCGATTTTGGGCGGTTATAGTTAGCGTTACGGTTAGTGTCAGTTCGGTAGTGTCAACTGTCACAAGCTCTTATCTTCAAAAGTACAAATAATGGAAAAAGTAATGGAAAAAGAAAATCTCTACTATTATCCTATACATAATCCAGAAGAATAAAGTCTTGCGTGCTCGGAAATAATGGTTGTCCAAGATTCAACTCGAAATTTGGCCAAACATTCAGTTTGGACAAATTTCGAGTGTCTAAGGCCATACGCAACAGCGCTTGTCCCTTTTCTCTTATTTAAAAAAAATGTCCTCCATAAAAGGACAATTTATAATATGGAAAATAAATAAGATGCATTTATATTTGTATAATTTTATTGCTTCATTTTTGGCGCTACATATTTGAGTAGTAAAGTAAATACAGTTTCAATAATGGCCCAAACTAGTTTATTTTCTCAAGAGTGCCATTTTCTCCATCTCCGTGGGCAAAAAGTTTATGTCACTATAAAATACCATGCATATGATACATAAATTAAATCGGCGAAACATGAATTTCCAAACATTTTAATTTACGTAAATGTCATTCTTGACACCAACTTGACACTTTAGTGACATTCAGGTTTAAATGTTTCCATTGTAAAAACGAAAAACACATAAAACCTCTGTGAGAATATGTTTTTGCACTTGTAACCCTATTATAACTTTTACGATAACCGGCGATTTGATGCAACTCACCCTTAAATTCACAAACGTATCAAAACATCTCGTTGTCCCTTTTATTTGTTAAGAGAATAAGAGAGAGGAAAGAAGTGCTTTCTAATGTTGTCCATCTACGTCTGGTTTCTGCGAAGACACAGCGGGTACTAAATATAGGATTTCAATTGTAGAAGAAATTGTTGCATTTCTTGTGGGGTTTAGTAAAACTAGTATCCTTTCGTATATATGTAAAATAAATGTTTGGGATTCGCTGAGAGAGAAGGATTGCGTTCCATCAACTTCGAACCCAAACGCATTAGAAACCAAATTAATTTGTTGTAATCAATCGTTATTAATTAACGCTTCGCTTTGACTGAATCAGCTCAATGACTATAGTAATCAAGTTGATCTACTTTTACCCCATTAAAAGTACTACAGGGTCAGCAGTTCGATCTACAATCAGACAGGTTTTACGTAATTAAACCAACGAATATCAGATTCTAGTGTGTTTTATAAATTTAAGATGCTTTAATATATTTGAAAACATTCGTACGCATTGTTTTATTATTCATACATATTAAATTTTTCCAGAATTCGGCTATCGATCAAAGAAATCATACTGTTTTCAAGCCAACATCGTATTTCACAGAAATGATGTCCGTAAGTGTTAATGTTTTATATTTAATTGGCCCTAAATATTGATGTCTTCAAATATCTGGAATTAAAAAGTTGAGTCCAAAGACAAATAAAGTAATTAAATCCAAAAGTTACATTACAATTGTTACTATATTTCAAACTAATTTCAAATCTTCTTGCAGTTATATCCACAGTTACCGACGAAAAACGTAAGTTACTTCGAGAAATCGGAAAATTTACTACGTCTGCCCAAGAAATATTACGAAGATAGGAAGAGGAAACGAAAAACGATAAAGAAATTACCAAAGAGAACTGTACAGAAGATAATTAAAAAAAGCAAAACTAAGTATAGAAGAAATTTTAATCTAGCGACGATGCAACCAACACAAGTATCGAATTTAATTGACAAATCATTCTCAGTACTAGTAAATAACGAAGTAACAACACAGATGAACTTAAGAAAGAAATCAAGGAAGAATTTGAAGTTAATGAGATATCCCATGCCGTTCCAAAAGCTACCTTTTCACTATAGATATAAGAGAGATAATGATAGGGATGTTTATATTTTAAAAGATTTAGATGAAATTCAATTTCTTAGTGATGAAGACGGCTATGACGTTGTAAAGGCTCATGTTAAAAATTATTGGTAAATCTGAATTGTATTTAAGTTTGTTTATTTTTAATTATTGAAGGAACAATGTAATTTAGTTCTGTATTGGTTATTTTTTTAACATTGAATATTGTTGAGCATTTTTTTCCTTGTTTTATTTCTTTTACACTTTCATTGGTTTTATTTACTTTTTCTTCGTCTGTTTTTTTAACTTCTGTGGATTATTTAAATCCTCTTGCAATAGAAGATTTATGAGGTTTTAGATGATTAGTTGCTTCGATTGAATTGATTTAGTTTCAAAAAACATCTAGATAGAGAATGGTTTCTCTGATTTTTTTTTCAAACAGTTTGAAACCCTTTAGTAGCTCGACAAAAATTTGTATTTTGCTAGTATAAATATTAAAGGTGTTATTTTATAAAACCTATTGCTTACGTGACTCAACTTGACCTATATTTTGTTGGCAACGTTTCTATTTCCTTGTGCCAAATGATAACGGTTATGATGCTTCGAGCATGTTACGATTTTGGTTTAAATTGTATTCTAGGTGTATTATTTTTTATTGTTTATAGTTTCATTCAATTATAATGAAATAGACTATTAATTTCTGAATTTTAGTACATTTGTTTTGTAACATGTATAATATTTCTAAAAATTCCCTATTTATCTATAAGAAGATTTAACTAACTTTAAAATGCGATAATTCCAATCTATACTATCTATATTTTTATTATAAAGAGAAAAGATTTCTATTTTTAGATGCACTCAAAAACTACTGGGTCGATTTTGAAAATGATTTTACCATTACAAGGGTAGTTTATCTGTAACATAGGTTATATTTATTATTTTCTAATATCACGAGGACGAAATTGCGAGCAATAGCTAGTTCATAATATAGTAGTAAATGGTACAACAAAAACTAATTAATTTATTAAAATAATTTATTAAATATTCGTTTAATGCACTGAGTATTAAAGAATATTATATCTATAGTAAATTATAACTAATAGATACTATTTACATTTCACTTATAAAGTATACCGAGAAACCGTTTAAAAATATCGGTTTTACAAAACTAGCAAAAACTTTTTTAGTAATTTTTACAAAAAATAAATGACTTGCAGCAAAACAGCGCTGCATTTTTTTACATTCATGATCAGTCTTCAAGCGCTTTCCGCTTTAATTTCTTCGCCACCGTTTTTGTTCCTGTATTCCCAACCTTGGTACGCGAGGTCCTGAGGGCTTGATTCATGGTCCCTGAACGCGATGCCATTTGATCCGTATTTATGAGGGTTCTGGAATAATAGGGAATTATTAATTCCTTTGTTAGTTTTGTTCGTACATCTTGAAGGTTTTGTACATTTGTTTATGAGGTTAAATGTCGATAGTTGATTATTATGTACACAGATATGTAAATAATAAATGGTCCAATACCATGTTTTGGTAAAATAAATTTAGACCATTTATTATAAGTTCCTGTATTCCGTTAAAATATAAATGTAAGTTTGATGGGATTTTAATTATTCCGAGCACTAAAGTAAACGAAATTACATCTTAAAGTAAAATCCGATCTTTTGTTATTGTTCCTTATTATTATAAATATAAAAAGTAATAGTCGCCCGCGACTCCGTCCGCGTGAAATTAAAAAAAAAACAAAAGTGAGTAGCCTATGTGCTCTTACAGATGACAAATTTCATCGAGATCCGTTCAGCCGTTTAGGCTCAAACTCTAACAAATATCCATCCATGAATACTTTCACATTTATAATATTAGTAAAAAGTAAGATAATATAAGATTTAAATCGATTAGTTTCTTAGAACAATAACAAGAAGTACAAACAAAGCCAGACATTATCGACGCATTTAAACTACAAAACAAGCACATACAAAAAAAAAATCTGCGGCCTTGAGAGGTCGCCTTACATCGCTATATCCTAAAGATGGTTCTAACTACAAGTTATTTACTTACGGGATAACTTTCGTATTGAGCGTAGTGTGGTGGACTTTCTCTAAAAGGGCTGTGGATGCCGATACCCGCTGGAGAGTACTGAGGCCCGGAGTAGTGGTTGGAGGAGAATGGTGAAGTGAGGTTAGGCTTGCAGAACTTGAAGTAGCCAATGACGCCTGGAATAAAAACGTTGCATTAGTGGAAATGTTGAATAGTTTGTTGTTCAAATTGTGGAGCAGTTTTATATCTGTTATTTTTACCAATATAATGTGAACCTTCTTGAATTATTAAACTGTAGTCTGTTCGTTAAGTATAGTTTGATTTTTAATGAAAAGTTCAGGAGTATATAATTAAGTATTTTTATTGTAAACTTGCAGGATAATTCCCTTTCACAATATGGTTTTGGTTGGGATCTTTTTGCATTAGTTGTTCTAAATTTTCATCATCAATTTGGCCTTGTCCCCATTGAGGGTTGGCAGAATATGTGCTGCTCCATACATCTCTATTATCAGTCATAACTGAATTCACTCCATGTTGTTAGTAGTTCTAAATTTGAAAAACATTGGATTTTTCGTTTGAACTTATTACCTGGTACAATAAGAGCCATGAATCCTAGGAATTTCTTGAAGCTCGCGAGACCGAGGATGAGAGGCAGGAAGAGTAGGAGCTTCAGCTTGAACAGCTTGAGGATCAGCAGCATAGGAATTATTAGCTTCTTTAGCTTGTGACGACCTGTAAATAAACATTAAACAGTCTTGTCAATTTTTAAAGGTTTTCTTGATACGAATTTTTAAGTAAGTGAACATTGATTTTTTCAATGTATTATATTTTTTTTGTAATCTAATAGTGCATGTTTTTAAATCTCAGCAAAGTTTTGCTTTGTATCTTTTATTTGAAGCTGTTTAGGAAACTTTAGACCCAGTAATCATAGAATAATATATGTCTATATTAGGAAAGTTATTCATTAAGAACTCACGGAAGGGTGCTTTCTTGTCTTCGATGATATCGACTTCATCTGCGATCTGATCTAAGAAACGAGGGGCAATAACACCGTTAGATGTGACGTCATCATCTAATTGCATCTCCAGTGCTGTAGACCTTAAGAACCTGGAAAATTAGAAAGGAAATTTAATAGTATTACATCATCAGCCACTCTCTGCTTACTGTATATATCTGTGGATGGTATTGTGGAATGCCTAAGTCTAACTACGCAAGGATTTTGGATACAATATTGTCTTCTGAATATAATTGAAAGTTTTCATTTTATAACTTTGCATTGTTTTTAAAAGCAATGTAATGGTATTTAGAGTGCCATTCCTGTTTATGCCTTGGCACGTATTAACGGAAATGTCGCCAGTAACAAGGAGGTCAGGCCAATTCATTTGCATAAACTGATGCTAACATTCGACTGTTATTGCGCTTGTTTACTCCAATTACCAACTTAACAGGCCGCAAGTGGTTGTTTAAGCTCTCAGGGTATTGATGTCCAATTACTTTTAAAATGAGTTTCTTTTTGTTCCTAGTATTAAGATCATCAAGAGACCGAAAAAATATTGTAAGTCTACAGTTTCAAGTATTACTTTGTTTGGTGTTACTTTATTGTGCGATTTTAATTATTTTTCAATAAAGTCAAGTTTGTCTACAATTTTTACAATCAATCCTGTTCTGAAGTTATGAAAATATCTTACTAAATGGATGGATGGATGTTTGTTAGAGTTTATAGCCTAAACGACTGATCGGACTTTGATGAAATTTGGCATAGATGTAGAAGACAGTCAGCAACAATACATAGGCTACTCACTTTTGTTATTTTTTTAAATACACGCGGACGAAACCGCGGGCGAAAGCTAGTATATTATAATTTCTGCTTAGTATATGAGCAAAATTCAATCTCAAAAACATATCCTCGGCAAAATAATACTATTGTAAAAGAAATGAACAATTGTATTAACCTTTCAATTTTCCTCATTCCAAATTTGACTAGTGCATCCCAATCCGTGTCTTCGCTGCGCGGCTGCGAGCTCAGCTCTGGAGGTTCATGTGCCAGCGCGCGAGCCTGCGACTCTACCTTCACCAGAACTGCATTGTCTGATAATCTGAAAATAGTATTCCAATTGTAAATCTTTAAAACAATCTTTGGAAATTGCTACAAAGAACTAAATTATACTTCATACTAACATATTATAAATGAGAAAGTTTAGATGGATGGATGTTTGTTAGAGTTTGTAGCTTAAACCGCTGAGCGGATTGTGATGAAATTTGGTACAGATGTAGAAGATAGTCTGGAAGAACACATAGGCTACACACTTTTGTTTAATTTTAATTCCAAGCGAACGGAGTCGCGGGCGAGAGCTACTCACTTGTATGCTTGTTTGTCAAAGAAATCATCGAATGATCTCAATGCTTGTGCTTTGAAGCAATCGGCTAGGTCACCGTTGATGCACTGCTGCGTCGCTTGCTGGATGTATGGGTCTTGGTCCTCACCGAGACCGATCCAATCCAGAAGTCCTCGTCCGGATGCTTGTGGCTGGAAATTTTAGAATTTGTATCATTAAAAATTTGTATTGTGTAATATACAATTTTATTATTTAAGGCAGAATGTTGATTTATTTATTTTAGTTCTTACAAACTACTTGAATTGTTAATATTACTTATAGAAGGAATCTCTAAAGTGGATGAAGGATAGACAGATATGTTTTTATTTTTTTAATTCACCTACTATGTTTTTTTTTTATCTAAGCTAATTCACATGGTATTGTTGCTATTATTTTAACAAAACTAAACTTCGTTATAAGATTCATCATTTTGCTTTTGTTAATTAAAATCACGATAAAACAATTGAGTAAAGGCAAAAAGTGGTGGCTTTAAAATTGTGTTTCAGTTTCTTTACTCGCATCGTTCGCGGTAAAAAAGTTTAGTGCACAACCTATATGAACTTTTTTATCGTACGACGGAAAAATCGGTTGTAACCCTATTAAGGAACATTCTCTTTTTACTACTACAATTGTTTTTATTAAGTATTTATATTTTTAATAAACCTTTCTAAACATAGTCCTCGCAGATATCTGCCTAATGAGTCAAAACATTTTGTCGGTCTATAGTTGATTAAAACATCGACCATTTTTGTTTTCCACTATACCGTTGCGTACTGAAATACCCATACATATTGCTATTTCAACTTTTCCGCCGAGAATAACAGAGATAGCATGTCTGTTCTCACTCACCGATCGTCCATTGTCATTGCCGAAATTCAAAGATCTGCCTTCTATATCTTCTTTGGGCGGTTGATCAGGTAATCGTATACCGCCATCTCCTTTAGATTGCAGCGCTAATGCCGCTATAACCAGCATGAACCACCTAGCTTGGTACATTGTTATAGTAATCCTGAAACAAAGAAATAATCATATATGAATCTTATAAAGTAAAACAATTATAAGACATGAAAAAATATGGCCTATGTTACACACAGATAAATTACCTTGACCTAACGGTGAAAGAATTTTTAAAATAGGCCCATTAGTTTTTGAGCGTATTCATTACAATAAAACAAAGTTTTTCTCTTTATAATATCGGTAGAGATAATATATATAGAAGTAGTATAGAAAATCGGTTTTCCTGACCTTTGCGTCATGTTCTATATGTTATAAGTAGTATGTTTATAGTATTAGTATAGATATTTTTTTATATAATATAAGGTGGCAATTGAGCAAGCGGCCACCTGAATCCACCGAAATGGAAAGCGACCGCTGCCCATAAACATCCGCATTTACAGATGTGTTGCCTACCCTTCATTGACGGAGGAGAAGATGCAAATAATGAGGACACTTTCCCTTCCAATGCGTCTCGTCCACCGTCAAATCTACTTTTTCTTCCCATCCTTTCCTCTCAAGAAAAGGGTGGAAAGGGAGAGGGACTAAAATTAGGCCTCCAGCACCAATCTATTTAATCGATGCATAACTGTGGGCTTCTACAGGCGATACTACATAACAGTTATTATACATAAAAAAAAATTGTCTTGCTCATTTTCTTTCAAAAAGCTGAAACAACATGCTTTATTTAAGCGTTTACGGAGTAACCTATTGTAAATACAGCACGTAAGTAATATTACACCAATTTTGTTGTTGGACGTAATTTTTGTAACACTTACGACTTTATCCTCAATTCAAATGTAAATCTTTTACATTCTTTCGTAAATTTTCCTCGTTTTTCATTTTACACTTCACGTTTTCTGATTCCTCTAGTAGCGTGCATTATTGTTGATAATGTAAATTAGTTCTTAATGCTTGGTAATAAGGTTTACAATCTTATCGTTTGTTAAACATTTACATTTATTACTGTCAACGATAGAAAGTGCGGCACATGCTTTATGTCACGATGTTCTCAAATGCTATGGATGATTGCGTTTTACGTATTTGTGATGTGAAAAAAAATAAAATAAATTTGAAAATAAAAGTAAACACTTTTCACAGATTAAAAATTATTCCGTTCAAATATTTCTATTTCAATAGATAAAAAAAAATACTGGCTACTAATAAAGTTCACAAACAATTGAGAGAGTGAAATTTGAAAATGGAATGTTTGCGCGCTATACGTGCGAGCGAGACGCACAACTTTCGGTTGCGAACTGGCGCAAACGCACGTAATGGCCACCGGTAACGGTTAGCGACAGTTTTGGCGCGCGTTCGACAAAAACAAAACGCCTATTTGAATACTAAACAATATAAGAGACGAATTGAATAAAAATAATTGTCAACTTATTAATTACTATACTGTACTACTAAGTTGACATTTTTAAGTGTCGGAAATTCCGGTAGAAGGTGTCAACAGAACGTAGCTTTATATTCCTGATGCTTGGATTTCAAATAAATATGTTCTTAATAAATTAACAATCTCTAAACGTTCTACTGGGCTTTGAAATCACGGAGATTTAAAGAAATACACAATCAAATGGAAAACTAACCGATTTATTTAAGTTAACATTTTAATTCCATAGATGGCGTTAGTAGTCATAGAATAGATATTTGGAAATCTTAACGAAACTGTAGGTAAGTCAAACAATAGACAGGGAAGTCAATACCGTGAACAGTAAAATTTACACCCAAAGTAGTTCCTTTGTGTTATTTGAATGAGCTTAAGTGAAAGCATTTCCACAGCCAGAACCAATAATTATAGTCCACTTACATTCGCTATTTGTAAAGATTTAAGATTTATTGGACTTTTGCTGACTGGGCTGCGTTAGGTCATGTTTTAATTAGAAGTAGTGTTTAGAATACTTATATTTTTTTGTTAATTGTATTTTTTTTTAAATGAGAAGGGGGCAAACGATCGGCGGAAACACAAAGGTGGTCAACGATGCCCATTATGTGTAATTAATCTTACATGATATAAATAAATAAAAAAAATATACCAAAGACTAAAAAGACTGCTAAAAGAGTTCAAAAATAAATACTAAAATTTATTTCAGTGACTGGCTATATCACCATTAAATGTAAGCTACGGGAAAAAATAGTTTTTTAATTTCGCCGTCGGAAAGTTTTGACATTGTCATTCTGAGCAGCTGAGCTCGTCTCGTGATTCGAATGAATAATATCAGTACTTGAAGTAATAGTAAATGCTTGAATGCGGTATTTAATATTTAAATTTAACTTGTTATTCCCATGCAACTTCATCCGCATGAAATTATGAAAATTTTATTTTGTTGTTTAAATGTGTCAAATTATCAATTGCAAATGTCAAAATGACATGACATGATGACAAAGCATGGCAACCTTGTTTCCTTGATGTTGGCAGCAACTTATGGTCTCTTTCCCACATTTGGGTTTTTATCCAAAATGTTTACCCCTAAGTTTAATGGCGTGAAAATATATAGCCTAAAGAACATTAAGAGTAATGAAAAATAGTTTTTACTTATTGATAAAGTAGCTTTTTAATGGTTAAAGATTTGAAATCGGCCTACTAGTTTTTGAGTTATTTCAATACATACAAAAATACAAATCTTTCCTCTTTATAATATTAGTATAGATAGAAATAACGAAGTAAACTCATAAAATGAGACATCAGTTTTAATTGTACTTAGTGACGTGAGGGTATATCACGAATATTTTTTGACAGTTGAACGTATTCGTAATGTCAATAAAACAAAATCGCTCTATGCACACCTCCGTATGTACTCATACTGGTCAATCGCCCGATTATCGGTCGATTAAAATTCTATAAGAGGCCGTTATTGATCACATGTAATATTAGATTTGTCATGCCCTCAAAATTTAAACCGTTCCGTTACTTTATTATGAAATGCGTTACATAATGTCAATTTTGAATGCCTCATCCATTCAGCGTATGATTCATACCTCCGTACGACCCAGAAACAAAGTACCCTCTGTTTAGGATAGAAAACTTTCTCTTAAATACTAAAGACATTTTTCAAGTAAATTACTGACGTCCTAGGTATTTTTTTTGTAATTGTTTTGCGCCAGACCTTTTGCAAAATGGATTTTTTGTAACTGGTAACTAAAGCAACTAAAATAATATCTATATTTATACTATTATAATAAAGCGTAAACACACACTTCTTTGTTGCCTAAGATGTCAACAATTACAGCATATTTTTGAATAATTCTTTTTTTAATAATGAGCCCTACACTTACGTCAAGCTTTAGACTATAAATTTTCCCGCCATTAAACTTAGGGGGTATATATTTTGGATAAAAACCCTAATGTGGGAAAGAAACCATAAGTTGCTGCCAACATCAAGGAATTAAGATTGCCAAGTTTTGTCATATCATGTCATTTTGACATTTGCAATTGATAATTTGACAAATGTAAACAATAAAATAATTTTATCCTAATGAAATCGCACGGGAACAGCTAGTAGTTCATACTTTTTTAAAGTAAATTGCACTATCTTTCAATTAACTTGTAAATATTTTGTGTACATACATACTCGTATGTCAAAGAATCCTGAAAGTGGATTCACTGAAGAAGCAACTATTTGGAAATACTTGGTAAGTTTTTAAAAATATGACTAAATTAATTAAATAATTAAGATGCTTTGACTAATTATGTTTTTCATATCAATGTGCTACGATTTATAGTTTTTTTTTTACATATTTGTGTTTTAAATATTTTATAATATTTTTGATTATTTTTCATCTAAATATAACACATTGTTTTTTATTTCTTGGTGGCCAATTAACATCAAGATAAAAACTTGATTAAATTAAAAGTAAATAATAACTTACCTCGATTAATTAATAAAAAAAAAAAAACTATTTAACTAAGATCTAGTTCACGTTCAATGCACTGAACGATGCAAGTAAGAATGAACCAAGTGGCGACTATCCTTATATAATAATAACATAAGAATTGCATAAACTTCTCGGATCCGTATTGTATCCAATCAACACAAGACAAGCAAATTTGAACCATATTTCTTGAACTATAAGAGCTATTTCCAAGCATTCAGAAATCTCAGTTTATACACTAACGTTTATGACTGTTGTACTATCATTTTATTTTAAACTCTAATCTGTTGAGCTTTTGAGTTCAATTTAGCTTGATCAATACAGTTTTAAAGTTTTAGTGGATACAGAAATAATATGCCATAGTAATATGACTCATAAAGTTATAGTAGTTAAGATTTATTTTACGGAACTAATTTTTGCAAAACGTTCGCGTTTGAATGAAGATAGCGTAACTTCGGGATATTCCCAGTGATTGTTTTAAGGTCTCTAAGTATGGAGAGAGACTGAATTATTTTCTGAATTTTAGATGGCACTATTTATTTTTTAAATAAATTCTTATTAAATATTTTTTTATATCCGTAAAAAACCAAAACCAAAAGCATTTTTTTTTAATATTATGTTATTGCATTTGTTTCAAGCCTTCTCCAGCCTTAAAAATAAGATGAGCAAAAATCGATACAGCACTCTTATTAATTCATAAACAATATTTAAATAAAAAACAATCACATGAGTAAAACACATTTTTTAAACTAAAATATAACAAACTGATAAAACCAAATGAAGAAGAAAGCCGAGAAGTATTTAAAATAAATTTAAAATTTATTAAAAAGTCTTCTCCACTGTTATCGAGCTGTAACTCGCAAAACAAATCCTGGTTTGGTTTCATCATTTAGTTCATGGAGACGTTATTCCCTACGTCAAACGTTACTTGAAGTTTCAAAATACGACCACTGAGCAATAAGTAAAATCAGGTTGCGTTTATAAAAAGGATCCGGTATTTACGTCACCAGAAAATAGTCTAGGGGGTAGGCAGGTCAAGGGCAATCAAGAAGGAAGTACAACAAAACTGACAAGTAATTTTTGAGTTATAGTTATCACCTCTCTAAGGAAGGGGGAAACAAACCGTCGCTTACTCTCTTCCAGTATGTTTTAAATTCACTCGGACAAAGTCGCGGGCAGCCATATGTCTTGTTTGTTTTTGTAGGAATAATTATTATCATCGATATGAGTTAACGTACTGTTTGTTTTGATTCGATATTATGTAAGTAAAAGTCAATCTTAAATTTTGGTAAAAATAATACGAGTACCTTTATTCATGGAAGTTTTTGTACGTTTCAACATTGAAACAAGATTATCAAAACAATTACGTGAAAGTTTTGTTTAAGTATTTTGATATGGTACCTGGAATTTATGGATAAGTACAATGGATGGACATTCCATTAAAATTAAGTAACACAACGTTGCTTTTAAGTAAATTTACATTAGTTGCGAATGATACTTTTGATTATTATTTAGATATTGTGTAATATTTTTTTTTTAATATTACGGAAGGATGCGATAAAAACTTGACAACTTCAAATTTTACAACTGAAATATATATTTCTGTAGCTCTTTGCAGTATAAATTCGAAATGTATACCTTATAGCTGTTGCTCGCGACTTCGTCTGCGTGAATTTAAAAATTAATTAAAACATACCCTATGCTACTCACAGATAAATTACATTTCTAATGGTGAAAGATTTTTTAAAATCGGCCGAGTACTTTTTGAGTTATTTTTATACATACAAAAATACAAAACAGAAAAGATTTATAATATTAGTATAGAATAGATAGCATAAGTAATTTTTATATTATAAAATATACTAGCTTTCGCCCGCGACTCCGTCCGCGTGAAAAAAAACAAAAGTAAGTAGCCTGTGTGTTCTTCCAGACTATCCTCTACATATATATATACCGAATTTCATTGAGATCCGTCCAGCAGTTTAGGCTACAAACTCTAACAAAGATCTATCGATCCATCTAAACCTTCGCATTTATAATATTAGTACGATTAAAGTAAACATAAGAGCGTCGTTGGATTAGCGGTAGACATCTCTAGTCTCTCGAATCTCGTCACCCAGAGTTTTTCGATTTTCGAATTTCTTATAGACATAATTTAACCGACATCCTTACGGTGAAGGAAAACATCCTACAAGGAAGCACTTATCGACAAAAATGTTTTTCGACCATCGTTTATCTTTTCTTATGCACTTAACGAAAATGTTTCATTTTTATATTTTCACTTATATGGAGAGCTTTTTAAATAACTAAATATTTGTCATATTAAGAGACCTGCGTGACATTAATTGACTCAAAACAATGACCGAATGACACACAAAATGTTACTTAATATGATTCACGAATTAATAAGTATAACAATGTTCGGTTAGTTACAATTTAAGCTTTATCTCTTAGACGATAAGATCGAGAATCACTTGCTTTATTCTGATTAAAGTAAGGTCGACTTTCTACTGATTCAGTAGTGGGATAAACAACCGGATCTTCGAGTACATTCACCGTACACTGACTGATGCGTTTTGATACTTGATGAATTTAATGTTTATATTTACACAAACGTTTCAAATATAACCATTTAAGTTGACTAAGAGAAATGTAATTTTAGAAAATTAACAGTATTAAATTCAATTTTTTAGTCGCGCTTTCTTGTAAAACTGCCATACCTTTACTATAATAAAAAACTACAAACAATGTTTATCTATACAAGAGTTCTGGTCCAATGTTAAATTTACTCGTACTAATAAGTTTGTAAGAGTTTGTAGCTTAATTGTTGAACGGATCTCGATGATATTTGGCACGGATGTAGAGGATAGTCTGGACACAGTCTACTTACTAAGTTTTTTAAATACCTCACAGACGAAGCCGCGGTCTAAAGCTAGGTTTTCATAACGAAAAAGCATGTTGTAATAAAAGCTTTATTCTTATGATATTTCTAATCCATTCACCATTTCTTTAGTTACAATCAAACAAAAAAATACCCCAAACTTTTCCCTTTACTCGTAGACACTATTAGGTAACAAAAAGGAAAGGTTTAGGCCACTATAATCTAGACCAGACATAATATCAAAGGTACATTAACATCGATACTGAGGTCGTGGCACTTCCCTATTCCAACCGGAACATTCATGTAACAAGTGCTACAGTTGAGTTATAACTGAAGCTATCTTATTACATACTAGTTGTACCCGTGCGGCTTCATCCGCATGAAATTATAAAAACTTTACTGTTTACATTTGTCATATTCTCACTTGCAAATGTAAAAATTACCGTTACCGAAATAACCTCTCTTTCATGTTGGCAGCTTGTAGTTTTTAGTCTCTTTCTCACTTGAAGGTTTTTTCCAAATTATTTACCTCCTAAGTTTAATAGCGTGAAAACATATAGCCTAAAGCGTGACGTAAATGTAGAGCTTTTTGTTAGAGAAACAATTCATCAAAAACATGCTGTGATTGCTGACATCCTACGCCACGAAGTAGTGTGTGTTTACGCTTTATTATATTAGTATAGAAGTATAGATTATTGGTTTATCTTTTGCTTAAAACATGTAGAATAACTTAACAAGTATAATGTAGAATAAGCGTAAATACACACTTCTTTGTTGCCTAAGATTTAAGCAATTACAGCATATTTTGGAATAGCTCTTTTTTTTATAAAAAGCCCTACACTTACGTCACGCTTTAGGCTATATATTTTCACGCCATTAAACACAGGGTGTAAATATTTTGGATAAAAACCTTTCTGTGGGAAAGAGACCATAAGTTGCTGTCAACAACAAGGAAGCAAGATTGCCAAGATTTGTCATGTCATGTCATTTTGGCATTTGCTATTGACAATTTGACAAATGTAAACAATAAAATTAAATTTTCATAATATCATGCGGATGAAGCCGCATGGGAACAGCTAGTAGGAAATAAAGTGGGACTAAACAGTTACGCGATAGTTTAGTTGAAGGTGTGTGCATTCTAAGTATTTATTGTGACGTGTTAATGATTCTTGTTTTATTATTGAATTAAATAATTTCATGTCTAAAACTCATTATTTACTGTCACTTTGTACGCTTATTTGGTCTAGAATCATTAAGAATGAATTCATGTAAAATTCAGTTTGTGTTGTTTGCGAATTACGATGAATACTAAATATGCTACGGTCTTTAAATTTAGTTAATATTCGTTTACATAAATAATGAATGGATCTTCAGTTATTTTAATGAACTAATAAACGGTAAATCAGTACATATTAATTTTTTTCCTCCTTATTTTTATAGGGACTTTGGTTTCTTAGAATATGTCAGTACCATATTCATTATTATAACCTCAGATATTTTATAATCTTAATTTTTGACATAATAGTCTTGTTGTATACTAATGTAATAAAGATGATAGTATTTCCTTCCTCCTTCCTTAATGTTGGCAGCTTGCAGTTTATGGTCCCTTTCCCACACGAAGGTTTTGTGAAAATTAATGTTCTACAGCGTATCGTAAGTGTAGGGCTCTTTATTAAAGAGATAATTATTCAAAAACATGCTGTGCTAATATCCTACGCAACGAAGTAGTGTGTTTACGCTTTATTATATAGTATAGAGTATAGATTCATCATCACCAGCATACGTCGCCACCGAGGAGCTCAGAGCCTACGCTAAGTAAGGGGTGACTAGGCCATAGTCAACCACGCTGGCCAACTGCGGGTTGGTTGATTTTACACATATCTTTGAATTTCTTCGTCGGTATGTGCAGGATGCATCACGATGTTTTTCTTCACCGTAAGAACGTCGGGTAAATTATGTACATATATATGGAAATTCGAAAATCACATTGGTACATGGCGGGATTCGAACCCAAGACCTGTAGATTACAAGTTAAGAGCTTAAACCACTAAGCCACCGACACTCCTTAGAGTATAGATTGTCATGAAACATTTAAAAATAAGTGTACACACGTACGAAGGGATCCATCGCTAGTTAAGAATGAAAAATAAAAACAAAATTTCGAACGAAATATAATTTATTAACCTATAATATGACTAAATAAATTATTCCATTAAAACTAAACAGAACTATATTAAATTTTAAATAAAGTATGTTAACGTATTTTACAAAATTCCCTCAAGAGTAATATCTTTATTTAAATTTACAAAATAAGTGTTTCATAAAGAACAAATTTACATAGAGAGGTACATAATTTAATTAAAATATTAAATGAAATAACGTAAAACTCGTAAACTCAGGCATTTATATCCTTAGAAAAGTTGACTTTACCTTTTTTTTCATTAATATCTTGTTAAGGTTACATTTTACACACTTTTAATATTTTAATTAAATTACACAGAAATATTAATCTAAATAAAACATTTCGAATATATTAAAAAATAATTAAACGTAAAATTTATTCCAAACACACAATAAATACAATTACACAATAAATTACATTCACACAACAAATAAATAATCTATACGTTTAATAAAATTGGAGTGTCTGTAATATCAAAAGAAAAAGTCCAGATTTCGGGAAGATGATGCGTTGCCAATAACGAAATACACAATTAAAAAAATGTCTGTCTGTCCGCAAGCCGCGTTTGTACAGGGTAATCTCATAAACGGCAGAACCAATTTCTACCGGACTTTCACTGAAGGGTAGCCGACATAGACTACTTTTGCATATTATAGGCTACTTTTTATCTTAATACTAGCTGTTCCCGTGCGACTTCATCCGCATAAATTTTATTACATTGTTTACATGTGTCAAATTATCAATTGCAAATGTCAAAATGAGGTAACATGATGACAAACCATGGCAACTTTGCTTTCAACTTATGGTCTCTTTCCCACATTAGGGTTTTTATCTAAAATACTTACCCCCTAAGTTTAAAGGCGTGAAAATATATAGCCTAAAGCGTGACGCAAGTGTAGTGCTTTTTATTAAAAAAAGAATTATTCAAAAATATGCTGTAATTGCTGACATCTTAGGCAACAAATAAGTGTGTGAAGTGTGTTTACGCTTTATTATAAAAGTATAGATTGCGTGGACGAAGTCGCAGGCATCAGCTAGTTTTAAAGAAATGTTAAATTAAACGTTACATAATTAAATTGTTTTTCATTTCAACAATTTAATTAAACAAATAATTAATCTAATATTTACATCTTTTTAATGGAACAAATATTATTTAATTTTAATTAAGATTTTCATTAAATGTGTCAACGTTAATTAATGTTTCAAATACAATAAAATTATAATCACAAAATCTTATTGTCAAGTTAATTACGTTTAGACATTTTATTGAAATACAGGGTGATGGTTTAATGGAATATCAAAAGTTAAAATTTAGAGTGAACCTTTAAAATGAAACAATAAGAATAATTGGACTGGATACTTAATATAAACTTTTTATAAAAGCTTTTACAATTGGGACAATTCATTTTGATTATGATATTAAAATAAATAGACTTTGAAAACCGCAGAATGAATCCAGCTCCGAAATCTTCAGAATCCTGTAAAATTTAACATATTATAAATGTTACACATACATAACCTAAACTAATATTATAAAGAGGAAAGATTTGTATTTATTGAAATAACTCAAAAACGAATAGATCGATTTCTTACACCATTAAAAAGCTATGTTATTACTGAGTAACATACGCTACATTTTTTGATTTCACGTGGTCAAATTCGCGAGCAACAATAAAACGAAAACCTTTACCAAATCATATAGTAAAGTAACAGAGGTGTTGACAGTTAATATAGAAAAAAAAACTGTATTAATTTACGCATCGTGTGCGTTTTTGGCACACCTTTTATAAAATAAGCCGTCTATTTTTACGGCACTTATTTCTCTTATTTTGTAGTCGCATGTTGTCTTTATAATTCAAATTTTAACTGGCCAGTTATTCTTTGACGTGAATATGTAAATCGCATAAAACATTTCATGTCATAAATAATATACGACGGAGGAATTTTTGTGATGCATAAAAGAAAAGCTAGTTTATTTAAACAACGAAAAAGAAAAATATTTATTGAACAAAGTATATGAGTCTAGATATTTTGATATGCAAGGTGTTCAAATATTTAATCCCATTTTTTCTTTTTTATATCGACGAACTCAAATAAACCAAATAGTTATTTCGATAAAAACTTTAACAACGGTATTAATAAGAACCTGCGCACACCTGAAAATAAACTATCGCATTACTGTTTAGTCGCACTTCGATTCCTATGAACTTATAAGGAGGTGCGCACACTACTCGATTTTTAGTTGTGCAAACTAAAGAGTTGAATTGGTTGGAAACAATTGACAATCGACAATCGTCAAAAGTATTTACCGTCTCATTTTCTAATCTTCCTAGCGGTGACAAGTTTGTTGATATCATGGTAGGCAGCGATCATAGTATGCGAGGGTGTGGCGGTAGCACACGCCGGGTGTAGTCCTACACAGTCTGCTCCCTCTTGGCCACGGCGCGCTGCCCGCATGTAGCGGAAGAAACGCAAGATCTCAGGGTTGTCAGACACTGGACGACGGAGCTCGTTTAGTTCCCTGAAATTACAGACATTTAAAAAAGAGGTTTCTTAAGATTGCTTATTAGGTAAAATTAAGCCGGGAACACACGTGTTAATGTACACTTGCATGCCAGGTACAGTCGGGGAAACTGACCGTGTTTTACTTTAAAAGCTGTAGTCGTTTGAACATTTAACAACGACGCGGAACAGAAGCAGAACATGCAGCGCAGCTTTAAATATGTCTGCACAAAAAACCAACTTGTTTTTTCGATCAACAACATAACTTCGTTTTCTCTGGTTTTTTGTAACTTGTAAGAAGAGGTTGAGTGTCTCTCGTTGCAATGAACAAGGTAATTTTTCCTTAAGTGAACCATCGCCAATTTCCTCGACTGTACCAGCACGTGTTAGTTGCAGGCATGTTTGAATGTTAATCTGACATGTGTATCGCCCAGTGACTTCCACGTGTCAAAACATTAGCTCGCTGATTCAACATGAATTATCATGAACACATTTAGTAGCTTCCATTTACCTGCTCAATTGAGCCGACACCAGGTTACTGTAGGGCGCGTACTTCGCAGGGCTGGAGTACATCAGACAGATTAGCTGCTCTCGACATGACTCCAATTTCATATCAATCACGTTCTGACCTCCCATACCAGCGTCGATAGAGTTCTCCGACGGTGCTAGACCTGTTAAGAATAACAGTTTATTGAGACGTGTAATATATTTACAACAAAGTCTACATTCACTTAACACTAAACGCTTACACTAGTCTGTGAAAGACTGGCCGGAAAATATCAGACACTCAAAAAAAACGGCCTTGAAGGATACAAAACTGGTCGTCGTAGCCAGGTTAAGTAAATCTGAGTATTTTCGTTTAGTTTATAATAATGTCTCGTTTTTTTAATGTAATACAATAATTGGTAATTCAATTTACACAAGCTTTAGGTGCTTTATAACTAGTGGTTATTGTTCCGCGATCGTAATGCGTACAAAACATTTAAGTGACCAGCTTTTAAAGTGGTACACGGTTAGATTCCTCGATTGTACAATATAACTTACTGGTTATAATATGAAGTATTGCGGTCTGGATTCCATACTATAAAAGAGGCGCAGACCAACATCCACAGTTGATTGGTTTGAACAGTTTTTTTTTTAATAATAATAAACATTTAATCAGTTCCAAAACACATTGCACCATAATACAGTTGAACAAAAAAATACAAACGAGAAAAAAAGGAAATTAACTGTTACTAATCACATATAATGAAAAGAAAATTGAAGAGAAAAAAAAATGTATAAGTATGAAGTTTGATGAGAGTTTTTTTTGGTAAGTGGTACACCGCGACCGAAGTTGAGTGTACATAACTTATATGGTCTTTTATTTAAGATTATGGAACGGTGGCTTTTGTTATTCGTATTCTTTTATTTCCCTTGACCTTTATCTAGTCCTATTATATACGAAATTGGTACTTGAGTTAAAAATATAACATAATACTTTATTGTCTAGCGAATAACAATAAAAATAATCCAATATCAATATGACCCCAATTTTCTTGAGATGATTATATATTTTGTAGATTTGCGTCAGCGTTTTTTATCTTGACAGATCCTATTACAGCGTGCGCACACCTTTAACTAAACTATCGCACAACTGGTGTGCGATTGTCGATTGTTTCGTCGCCAATTAAACTGTTCAGATGCACAAAAATCGAGTAGTGTGCACACCTCCATATAAGCTTATATGAATCAAAGCGCGACTAAACAGTTATGCCATAGAGTAGTCAAAGTCAATGCTAAAGTAACACAACGTGAATAAACACCAAACAGTACAACGATACAAAAAAGATATTTTATTATGTTTGGCTCTCCTTTTGTTTATTAGAAAAATATTACATACGTTAACCTACGCAATTTCATTATTTCCACGTAACATTTTCCACAAAGAGTTTACATATTAAATGTTTTATATTAAATTGAAAATTTACGTAAGGTTTTAATATCAGAATGTTATGAAGATATTCAACGCTCTGAAATGTTGATCAAATATTTAGTAAAGCATAGAGTTACAAAACACGGCAATTTGATAATAGAACTAAATTATTAGGTAGGAAAGTCGGTGGCTCAGGCGTATTTACTTGACCTATAATCTACAAATCATGGGTTAATCCTTTTTAATATAAAAACTTTTTTTATAACATAAGGTAGAAAACGATCAAGCGGCCACCTGAATCTGCCAAAATGGCGCAGCGACCGCTGCCCATAGACATCCGCAATTGCAGATACGTTTACCTTTATCCGACGGAGGTGGAGACGCACATAAAGTGGACATTTTCCCTTCCTATGCATCTCCTCCACCGTTAAATCTACTTCCCCTTCCCATCCTCTCCTTATAAGAAAAAGACTTAAATTAGGCCTTACAAATAGGCAGAATTTAATCTATGAAAATTATTATAACGACTTAAAAAATATTCAAATATAACATTAATTGCCTTATCTATTAACGGGCTTAGTAACTCTACGTTCGTTCTGACGAGAATTAGTTTTCACAAAGTGCTAGAGATACCTTTCAGTCGGTTGTTATAAGTTGAAGAGGTTTGGTGTTTCAAGTTTTTTATCTAACCCGTGACTTCGTTCAAGAAAGCTAGCGACTAAGTACGACTTTGTTTGAACTGGTATTTAGCAGTAGGTGGACTTAACATTAATTAGTAATTTTATTACTTTCTAAGCGAAAGTTTAGATGGATGGATGTTTAGTAGAGTTTGCCGCCTAAACAGCTCTGATCTGGATGAAATTTAGCATAGATGTAGAGCAAAATCTGGAAGAACACACATCATACACGCGGGCAGAGCGGGTGAAATCTAATAATCGATAATCATGTTTAAGGGTGGGTACTGACTGATGTTACGAGATGTAATGTTGTTGTGCGATGTGATGTTGTAATGCGAGCATTCCTGTTGTAACAATAAGTAAAGAATGCAGGAATACGTGCAATAACAATAGTCAGTACCTATCTTGGAGTGAGTCAGTAATTTTGAAGGTATTTACTTACCTAATCTCGCGAAGATACCATCCAGACGAGAGAGCAGAGGTGAATAGAACGGATCGTAGTTACTGAGAATTACTGAGGAGGATGGTATTTTCTGGAAAATCTGAAATGAAAACAACTTAAGAGTATTTCAGTTAATTTCGAGAATAGTTTGAGCGTTGTTGTTCCCGTTTGAAGCTGATTATAATATGAAGGGAATATTTTATAGATTCTGTGAATTCTGTAGAGCAGGATTAGAATGTACAGCTGTGTTAGGTTGCTTTTGCTTTTTGCCATTGGTAAAATACTTGTACAAGAATCTCTCTATTGCTTTAAAGGGTTTTGTAATTTTTACTTTAAAAATAACTTAATAAGTAGCCTATGTGTTCTTCCAGATTATGTTCTACATTAATACTAATTTTCAGCGAGTTAGTAACAAAAAAAAACATGAAACTTTGGAATGCTTAATAAAGTGCAATTTAATACATTTCAATATATTGAAAGTTATTAGATAACTACGAGTATAATATTGACATCAATTACGGGACGAATATTTTGCTATGAGCATAGATTATATTGAAATGTTTGAAACTATTAGGATTACAAAAATAAATTGATTTAAGTGTTTAAAGCGTGCGCACCGTTGACTAAACTATCGCACGACTGTTTGGTCTCGCTTCTATTGCTATGAACTTATATGGAGGTGCACACGAGATTTTTAGTCGTGCAACTAAACAGTTGAATGGGCTGCGAAACAATCGACAATCGCACAGCAGTTGTACGATAGTTTAGTCCATAGGCACAATATTTTTAACCTTTTCTCCAAGAACGGCTTTATAGAATTTATTTAGAAATCCCGAAAGGTTTGTTTCAAGGTTATAAAATACGCACCATTTTAAGCATAAAGAGACATCCAGTGTAAGCACGACACGTTCGCAAGTGGGTCAAAGTGTCTCAACAACTTATATAAAACAAAACGCTAAGTAAAAATTTTTGTTAGAAAATATGATTTCTCTCCACGTTGACTTATAATTCGGGTGATAGTAAGTGACGTCTCTGGGGATAGATTAATCTTTGACACGACAAATTGTTACGTTTATGATAGAGGTTACAGTGGAATAGAGCAATCCAGTTGAAGACGTTAATTTCCTACCCACTTCAATGAAATCTCATTTTGCGATCGTGCGTTTAAATCATACTAATATTATAAATGCGAAAGTTTCTTTGGTTGTAGCCTAAACTGTTGAACGGATCTTGATAAATTTCGTATAGATTTAGATGTCTAGAAGAACACATAGACTTTTTTTAATTTCAAGCAGATGCAGTCGCGGGCGAAATCTGATACGTTTATAAAAAATAATTACCTTGTAATTGTTAGTGTTGGACATTTGATTTTTGTAATAACTGTTCTTCGAAGGTAGGTACGACACTTTCTGGCCACTCGCACCGAATCTGTAACCGAAAAGTTTGTAATATAAAAAAAAACGGTTAGCCATTGTCACGTTCTAAATTTAAAAAATTGATTAACATTTTATGCCCGTTATTACAATGTTACGTTGTTAAAATTGTCTATACAAAACACTCAAAGACATTTTGGTTCGGCATTTTTCATTTTAGTAACATATTGGAAATGAAAGTTTTTCATACGTTTAACTTCGTAAAATACTCGCTGGCGTTGATAGATTCGCATAAGCCGCACGGAAATTCTATTCCGGGTGATATTTCGATTTCCTATTTTATTTGCGTTCTGATTTACAAATAAAACAGAAAAGTAGCTTCAATACAGAAGTAAATATAAAATCAGAATTCGAGATAATATTCATCAGAAGAGCGTGTGCACAATCTTAACTAAACTATCGCACTATTAGTCTCGCTTTGATTTTTATGTACTTATATCCTCCATTTACGCACACTACTCAATTTTTAGTTGTGCAACTAAACAGTTGGGTCTGCGAAACAATCGACAATCGTACAACAGTTGTGCGATAATTTAGCCAAAGGTCGCCCGCTCTTAAAATACCTGTGACATAATGCACGGTTTACACATTGCCAGTACAATTGGTCAGTAGCGCTCAATATGGATTGATAATCAAGTGGCACAATGTTAGCGGTAACTGGCTCCAGTGAGTCCATTTTATGACTGGCCAGCGTAACTGTCCAGCTGTTCTGGCCTAGTATGAACCGCGCATAAAGGTTGTCAAAGATTACAAAACTCGATTTTTCCATCTTCATAAAGACATCTTTGGCTTTTTATATTATAAGATTGTTTACGAAATAATCGTTTTATAGAATATATGCGTTGTTTTTTTTTATATATGCGATTACTAGAATTCGCTATAATGCCAGTCTTCGATTTGATAATTCCTTCGTTAAATTGAGATTAACATATAAAGTTCATCGCACATTAATGTTATGGTGTATATTGTCGTAGGTAAAGACATTATGACTGCATGTGACAAATGAGCGATGACCTTTGCAATTACTAAGTATTTATGATAGTGTATATAAAAGTAGTTATTTGGAGATGAAACCGATTTACAATTGAAAAACCTATTTACAATATATTATAAAGAGGAAAGATTTGTATTTTTGTATGTATTGAAATAACTCAAAAACTACTGGACCGATTTTAAATTTCACCATTCAAAAGCTATGTTATCAGTGAGTATTTTCTTTATTCAACTGGGACGAAGTCACGAGCAACAGCTAGTATACAATATTATTGGAATTTACCTGGACATATCCACGTTAGACAAATCATTGGCATCATTAGCTTCAGCCATTGCTTCATACAGTCCTTCTTGAGGGTATGCATAACTGCCAGCTTGGTTTGTATCGTATCCCATAAAATCTTTGTTATCATTATAAGCGCTTTGGTCGTCAGTGTTAGCTGGTGGATAGCTCGCTTGACTCGATGCGGCTGATAACTGGGATATTCCTGGAATGAGACAAAAAAGCAATTAAAAAACAGAAATAACTGATTAATACTAATCAAATCTGTTTGACTAACAAGTTCGTATACAGCTAAAGGCACAATGGCCAACAAGACGTTTGTCTTTTTTTATATGAGAAGGGGGCTAAGAAGTGGCGGGAACACAAAAGTGGTCAACGACGCCCTTGCACATCCGCAACACCAGAAGAACTACAGATGCGTCTTATATCCATATTGTATATTTGTATTTTTGTATGCATTAAAATGACTCAAATACTACTGGCCCCTTTTAAAAATTCTTTCGCCGTTAGAAAAGTAATCTGTGAGTAACTGTGGGGTGTACTTTTTCAACAGCTAGTTAAATATAAAAACTTACAGAGAAAAACAAAATAATTGCGGGAGGTGTTCATGAGAAAAAAGGTGATTGTAAGAATTGACCGCCTTTGACTGAACTATCGCACAACTGTTATGCGACTGTCGATTGTTTCGCAGTCAATTCAAGTGTTTTGTTACGATTAAAAATCGAGTAGCGCACCTCTATAAGATCATAGAAATCAAAGCGGGACTAAACAGTTCTGCGATAGTTTAGTCAAAGTTGTGCGCACGCTGTATTTCCACGAAATTTTCAAACTAACAAATAAAATAGTTTATTTTGAATATTCTAATTGTCAAAGTGAATAATAAATAACGAGAATGTACGGAAATATAGTGAAATGTCGGATTTCCATGAAAACATCCTGTTTATTTTGATACAAAGGATTACTCTTCTGGAAATGCCGTGTTCCTGTTATAATGTATTGTTACAATAATATGATAATAATTAAAAATGTCAGCTCGTAATATCATTATTCATTTTATTTTAATTAATGAACGTTAACTTTATATTTATTTATTTATTTATTTATTTAAATCCACTCAGCACATGTGCTGATCTTCCGTGGCCATTGAAAATAGATTTATACACAATAATGTTTTATACATTATAACAAATTAATTCACTGGCTGTTGCTCAAGACTTCGTCCGCATGAATTTAAAAAATAATAAAAAATGTTGCTTAATTTACTCACTGATAATGTAGCTTTTTAATGGTGAAAGAATATTTGAAATCAGTCCAGTAGTTATTGAGTTTTTTCAATACATAAAAATATACAAATCTTTCCTTTTTATAATATTAGTATATAAGTAGATTATTTTTTCCTCTATTAGAAACACTGCAACTAAAACGCGACTTTGTTCGCGCGGTAAGAAATATTTTTCTAGTAATAAATATAGCCTATGTTACTCACTAATATACCTAATGGTAAAAGACTTTTTAAAATTAATCCAATAGTGTACACTATCATACTTATGATAGATGGATAGATGATTGTTAGAGTTTGTAGCCCAGTAGTTGGACGTATCTGGATGAAATTTGGCATAGATGTAGAGCATAGTCTGGAAGAACACATAGGCTACTTGCTTTTATTTTTTTAATACCGCGCGGTCGTAGTTGCGGGCAAAAAGTAAGTAATATATAAACTAACTTGGCATACTTTATTGAGAGACAAAACAGGATATGTAATACAACCGCGCCAACTTAATTAAGGAAAGTTAAGAACTTTCACTTACCTTTACCGAGAATTTTGCCGAAACTTCCCAAAATACTCGGCAGGAACATTGCCAACAATATGCTCTTGAAGACTTGCATGCCGATTATCAACGGTAGGAAGAATTTCTTTAGACCAAAAGCTGAAAATATACAAATAATCATTATTGAATGCTACACAATTTTCATACTTAAATTAAAAAGCAAAAAAACAAGACCATTAATTTGTATTTTACCCTGCAAAGGAACAACGCAGTAGGTACATTCCATACATCTCAATCAGCATTTGAATTCACTCCCTTATGCATAAAAAATTAACAGTAATTTTAACAAGACTAACCAAAACTTCTTTGGCACAAATTGACCTGACTATCTGGTGCAATTCTACAACCACACAGAGGACAGACATGAAGTTGAAGATATTCCGTCTTTCATTTAATGAGTGAGCGTGCAATAAGCATTGTTTAATCCTTTTCCCTTCCCAACCACTTATAAGAAAAGGCTGGGAACGGAAAATGGACTACATAGAAGAGAGGACGCATAGGAAGAGGAGATATCCTATTTTCACATCCTCTCCACATTAAATTAAAGATTGGTAACTCATCTGTAATTGTATGGACAGCGGACATATATACTTACATCTAAATCCCATCAGTCGTGCAGCCTTTGGAAGGTTGATAGATAATATGTGAGTTTCAAAGAAGTTCTTTATCTTCTGATATATTCTGTATTCATAAGTATAAGTGCTAAATAATGCTCTTCCTTCTGCTTTGTCTGATCGCATCAAGTCTTTCTTCGTATCTTCAAGTTTTATTTCAATACCTTCTAAAATTTCGTATCGATCTTTACTTAATGCATTGTCTAATACTTTTTCGAATTCATTTTCTAATTGACTTTCTGTTTGATTGACAATTATGTATTTTTTCGTAAACGTGCTGATAGTGTCTATAACTTCTTCCATAAAAGTCTCAGATTTCATCTCTTCATTGTTAACTTTTTCTTTTGTAATATAATCTTGATTTAAATTACTATTTTCACAACTATGGCAGTTATTAGATTCTAAATTATTTTCTATATTATTAACTATTTTGGTTTCGTTGACGTATTGACTTGAATCATTGAATTTAGTTTCACAGTCACATTTAACAATTAGAAAGAATATATACAGTATGATAACAATTTTATCAGCAAACCTCAACCGATATCTGTTAAGTTTCCTAAATACGCTGTCATTTGTTTTCTTCATTTTGAATAAATGATCTTTCAAACTTCATCACCGGATAGTTTTTTGTTTTGAAAATTCAGCAAATGTTCATCGATGAGATAATCTGGAACAAAAGAAAGTTACACAATCTATACTAATATAATAAAGCGTAAACACACCTTCTTTGTTGCCTAAGATGTCAGCAATCACAGCATATTTTCGAAAAAACTCTTTTTTTAATAAAAAAAAAACCCTACACTTACCTCACGCTTTAGGCTATATGTTTTCACGCCGTTAAACTTAGGGGTAAACATTTTGGATAAAAACCCCAATGTGGGAAAGAGATCATAAGTTGTTGCCAACATCAAGGAAGCAAGGTTGCCATGGTTTGACATTATGTATGTCATTTTGACATTTGCAATTGATAATTTGACAAATGTGAACATTGAAATTAATTTTTTATAATATTAGTTGGATGAAGTCGCGTGGGAACAGCTAGTCATTAGGTAAAATAGTTTCGCAAAACAATAGTATATTGAACAAAATATATCATTGGCTATTGAATTTATTGAATGAAAGTTCAGATTTTCAATATAGCTGTGACAAATTACTATAACAATTCAATTGAAAGTTTCTATTCGATTTGAAGTTTTTTCATTTGTTGACATTTATCAATTATTATAGATTCACGAGCTAAAAACCCGTATTATAAGTAGATTTCTCCTCGAATAAACTCTCTCTCAGATTAAAATATAACACCATTTTTAAAGTTTCGTACATTAGTTTATCTAGATTCAGTTGTATTTGCAAGGCTTGTGAAAACAATATCAGATTTCTTACTTCTGACTATTATAAATGCGAAAGATTAGATGGATGCATGTTTGTTAGAGTTTGAAGCCTAAACTGGTGAACGAATCTCGATGAAATCTGGAAGAATACATAGGCTCCTTACTTTTGTTTTTTAAATCCACAGAGTCACATAAAAGCTAGTTATAATTTCTTTTCATTAATTCTGATGGTTTTATCAAATTAATTTACAATTTTATAGTTAGACTAGCTTATATGACCCAATGGGCATAAATTAAAACACTATAGAGCGATAGAAGTCCCTTGAAAATCTAAATTAAACGACCATTTTAATCATTACATTACACTGAGGACGGTAAATCGGTTTTCGTATTTTGTAACAGAACTGCGATTACAGCGCCACTCTCACCTGGTCGGATAAATTTGTCGCACTATAATTTTGAGGTTCTTTATAGCTATCGAGTTGTCGACGTTCACGCAAGGTCAATTAAGGTCGGTCAACGACAGGTGACACTGATACAAAGTCTACCACAAATGTTCACGCAGCGTGACAAATAGAGCGGCCACCTACTGAGTCTCCTATAGTGCCTTTTAATGGCTTCCACTAACCATAAACTATGATATTTACGAGAAGATATTTTATAGAAGTACAAAAGACATTGTGTCCTTTTCTAACTATCTTCTTATTGTCTTCGGCTACCAGGTCCATAATTCTTCTTAGCAGCACCTATCAAATGTTACCTTTCACACTATCTATTCCTTTATAGGACTCCCCCTACAGAATTATCACACCATATCCCTATTAATTTCATGCAATCATAACGGTCATCTACATCTATACTGATATTAAAAAGAGAAAATATTTGTATTTTGGATTTTTGTATGTATTGAAATAATTCAAAAAGTACTGAACAAATTTCAAAAATTCTTACACTATTAAAAAGCTATGTTATCACTGAGTAACATAGGCTATATTTTTACTGTTTTTTTAATAACACGCGGGCGAAGTCAAGAGCAACAGCTACTATTACATTTGTTAAAATCATGATGTGTTATTGAAAATGTACTCGTATTTTTGCGAACATCTTTTGACTTTTATGATCCATGTTCTCAAGAAACTTTCCGCAGAGTCATAAATAAAAGGAGAGGGTGAAGGGGGGGTTACTTTCTATCGGAGACATTAACGATAATGTATGCCGGTAATTTTGTCGTCTGACTGATGTTATGATAAATATCACGGAAAAAGTTTTCTGTCAAAACATAAAAATATATTTTTTGTCCGACTATTGTTAATTTTTTGTATGTACTTTTATGTATGGTTCTCCTATAGCTAAAACAACGGAGAGTCTATCACGAATAAGTAACAGTTCCGGGTAACGTAATCGACATTTTTTTTAAATCGAAAAATTTGTTCATTTTTCCTAGCAGTAGTAGGAGCGCTGAATAAATCTAATACCAATTTTATCGATAACATTACGAAAACCATAATCATGATAATTCGTGTTAGGTCATCTGAACAGAATACGAGAAAATCTCTTGTTTTCTTAAGATGCAAATAGTATTTTTTCTATTATAATATGAACTTGGTGCTACTATTTTTTTGGAGAAAAACAATAAAAAACGACTGCGTTTTCGAAAATGTATGTTATAAGTTACTTAATTAACTAATAAACTTGTTGGGAAATCGAAGAAAATATATGACTAAAGTTGTACATTTCATAACGAAGCTATTGAAGGGAAACAAACTTAGTAAATTGCAAACAAACAGCTTGCAATTAAGCTCCTTGAAGAAATATCAACTTGTAGCAGTCTTAGTAACTTAATAGAATTATAACTGTTAATTGTTTTGTAGTTGAACTTTACGATACATTTTTTTTTAGTAAAACATTAGTAGTATTTACTAATAGTTCTTTTACAATTCCAAATAAGCTCTAGAGTTGTGCTAGGGTATGGTTTTAGACAATCGTCGAATAGCGGGATTCAAACCCTCGACCACGTGGTCGGATTCTCCCTCTCATTATTCGTGTCGGGTCAACGTACCAGTTATTGATACACCAGATCGTTATATCCTCCGTCATTTTATTTCTCACTCCCTTCACGATTAAATCATCTTTTATGCAATCCATGACGCTCATTCTATCTATTTTTTTTGACCGACTTCCCAAAAGAAGGAGGTATTCAATTCGTCGGTATATTTTTTTTTTATTTTTTATTTTTTTTTTATGTGTGTTACGGCATAACTCCGCCGCTAGTGGACCGATTTGGATAATTCTTTT